GGAGCTGCGGAACCCCCGCGCGGACGACCCCCTGCCGCGCCCGCTCAAGCAGCGCGCCGGGGGGGAGGAGGCGTGGATCGACGCGAAGCTGCTGCTCCGCGCCGACGGCGTGCGCGGCGCCGACGAGCGCATCCTCGCGGCGCACAACGTCATCAACTACAACTGCGGCGACTTCGTCGACGTGAACCCGCCGGTGGTGCTGCTGGAGGAGGCGGTGGCGCTGCTGCGGGAATGGCAGGTCCGCATCGCCCGCAGCCCCTACCCCGGGCTTTTTGTCGTCACCCAGATGGGGGAATTCTACCGGGCGACCACCATCACGCCGGTCCCGCGCCGCTACGGCGTGCGCGGCGGCAACGCCATCGCCCGCAGCCCCGAGAAGGCCATTCAGCTCTGCGCCCTGCACGCGCTCGACGTCCTCTGCGCGCTCGACATCCCGCTCTTTCTCGAGGAGGCGAAGCAGCGGCAATTCCTGCGCCGGCGCCGGCTGCTCGGGATGATCACGCCGGATGGGATGAAGCGGCGCATGGTGCGCCCCAAAAGCGCTATGTACATGCTTAAAACCACCAACGGGCCCGCCGAGACGGACGAGCTGGGGGGGGACCCGAGCGCCCGCGCAGGGGAGACCCCCGCAAATTCAGATCCCCAGGCGAAGTTCTACACATCGCCGATGCCGGGCTACATGATCGAAGGCAACGTCGTGCGCTTTCCCCCGCGGAGCGATGACACCCTGTCGATCCTCCAACTGCGCCTTCCGGAGGACTGCGTGATCTTCGGCGAGGGCTTCCCCGAGGACGAAATTCAAGCCCTCGGCAACGATGCAAAGGTCTGCGTGCAGAACTACATGCGCCAGCAGCACAGCGTTAACTCGAAGGAGCCGCAACCCGTTCGGAAAGCCGCCGCGGGGGCGAACCTCCCGGAAGGGGACCTCCCCCATGACCCCACGCGGCCGCCGGCAGACGACCCCGCCGAGGACCTTTCCCCGACCGAGCACGAGGAGCTCGAGAAGCTTTCGGAATGGATCCGCGGCTTCCCCCTCAACGTCAACCCCTCGCTCTACGTCACCGGATATGGCAAGCAGGTCAGCGTGTACAACATCGCCTACATCCGCCTTCCGGTCCCGTCGGCTCGGGGGGGGGAACACACGCCCCCCGCCGTCAAACCTCTCAACTCTAAAAAGAATAAAGCAGATCTAAAAACAACGGAAACCAACCCTACCGCCGCCATCTCCGCGGTGCTGAGTGAAGTCACGATGATGGCGGATGCGTTTTACACCCCTTCCCTTCAAGGCCGTAGTGCGCCGGCCACTTCGCCGATCCTCCGCCCCGGGGACCGCCCTAAGGTCGAGGTCCAACCAACTCCCGACCCCGACGGTGAGGCGACGAGAGACCACCTACTCGCGGTGGGGATGTCCTTGAAGAAAAAGGACGCGGAGCGAATGTGCTTCCTTCACGCCGCCACCCTCCTCAAATACCACTACAACGAGGACGTCTTGCAGAACTACCGGTTGGGTCTCCCGCGTAAGGGCGGCGCCACGTCGTGCGAGGATATTCAGAAAATGTACAAACCCTCCTCCGGAGCGAACGCTGAGGTCGAAGACGCGAAAGAAAAACCAGAGGGCGATCAGGATGGGAAAGGCGGTTTGAATGCACCACAGTCTAAAGAGGCCGAAATTCAACCGCATCCGGCCCCGCCGGGGCCGTTTTTGCACAACGCGATGAAGACTTTCATGGGTAGCGGGCGGTCTATTACGCAACCCAGGCGGCGCCCCCTGTGTCCATCTTTTAACCCTTTTTATAAAGGAGAGCGAGAAGCTTCCTGAGTACCACCTCTACATCTCACGCCCTAGTCAGGGGTTGGGTCTTATCGGTTCTAGTTTTCAACGCTATGGCGAGCGTCTTTTGGGCGATAGATGGATTGTTGTGTATTAGCTTAACCAAAGGGGTGGTAGGGTGAACCAGTACGACGCGAAAAGGCTGGAACGCTATTTCAAACTCCTGACAGCCTCTCCTATCTTTTTATTATTCTTTCTTTCTTTCTCTCTCTCTCTCTCTCTCTCTCTTTTCGTAGGTTTCTCCCTTTTAGAGCGGATATCTCGGGGCTGTTCCCTCTTCTTCTAGTGCCACCTCAACGTCGGTAAATCCACAATAGCTGCGGCATTCATCGCGTCGCGCGGGTTTCCGTCGGTGGTGGATATTCTTCACGGTAGAAACACGGGGTGGATCTCCCATTGGGCGTGTATGCGTATTGGTGTTGAGAAACTCTAACCAAACACAAACGATACGGTATTCTGGTATATTGTATATTAAACATACACATATATATATATATATATATAGTTAGTTAATTAGTTAGTTAGTTAGTTAGTTAGTTATTTTATGATATCAAGCAGTTTTGCGTGTTCACGGCCTGTGGCGCCTGGGAGCGCGGTGCCGGGTGCGATCGCATCCGGGGTTTCCTATCTTCGCTCCACCTCCCGCCCGCTGCGGAGCGCCTGTTGGATGGAGCTCGCCGTCTTTTCGGGTTTCCCCAAGGTCCCCTCTCTCGCCGGGCAGCGCCTACAGGACGGCGAGGAGCTCCTTACCGCCACCCACGGCGCCGGGGAGCCGATTACGCGGATTCGACTGGCTTTTGAGCTCTTCGACGATGAATGCCCAGTCACCTGCGAGAATTTTCGCCGGCTTTGCGCCTACAACAACACGTCTGTATTCGATAAAAGGACAACGGAGGTGGAGGGCGAAGCCGATCGCTTCGCCGAGCTCCGCGTCGTCGGTCGCACTCGACGCGCTCGGCCGTATTATTACTATTATAAAGACCTCGTCCCATCCTACCGTGGGACTTTTTTTCACAAAATCATCCCAAACTTCTGCGCGCAGGGTGGGGATATCACAATCCAGCTCGCCCCCGGTGGGGCGAATCACTTTAACGGCGGCGGGCGCGTTTCCGGCTGGTTTCCCGATGAATCCAATAAGCGGCGCTTTAACGAGGTCGGTCTGCTCGGCATGGCGAATAACGGCCCGAATAGCAATGGCACACAGTTCTTTATCACCACGTGTTCGAACCAGGAGCAGGCCTTTAACGAGCGCCACGTCTGCTTCGGACGAGTCCTGCAGGGGATGGAGTCCTTTCTCGACATCGTCGCCTTGTCCGGCAATCCTGAGGGTAACCCCTCGCGCTACGTGGTCGTGGTAGATTGCGGGGAAGGGGATCTCACCATTTCCGCTTGATTGTATCGCGGAAAAAGCTCACGTTGGTTTGGTAATTTGCTCGGGTTGCCGTCAGGATCATCGGAATCGGGGTATTTGCTGCGACAGGAATCGCTGTCTGGAGTAGAGAAAGCTCCTCAGCGTAAGGCTTGGACTATCCAAAAGAAGAAGTTAACACGCTTCTGAAATCGCAAAAGATTAGTGGAATGATGCCCATAAAATATGTTATGGACACGTGATGTACAATAAACATATATATATATATATATATATATATATATAGT